TTTTAAGCTCGGTAATGAAAAAAATTCACCATCTTTATTAACTTATCACCACTCACTCATATATGAACTCAGTTAAATGACCTTGCTCTCCATGAGTTCTCGTAGCTCAGTGGATAGAGCGCCCGCTCGATGTTCGGGAGGTCATGGGTTCGATTCCTGCCGGGGACTCAGAATTTTTCTGTCCCACGCTCGTGTCATGTTGATTAATTCACCTTCACATCAATGGGGCATGTTCCCAAGATGTTGCAATTTGAGAATTGGAACCTAATTGAAGACCGTTTCACCAGAAATACTAGCAATGTCATAAAGTAAAAATTACAATCAAGTACCTGTCCAGAGAGTTTGCCTTTATTTCTGCCATAATATTCAGACCCTTGTTTAATTTTTTGTTATGTTTTGCTTCTCCAAAAGGGGTTTGGCTAGCCACCCAATGCAATTTCAGAGTCAAACCCCCGTTTTCAAATTACTCCTTCGTAGTATAGACGGGGCGTGATCAAGACTGATATGGTTTTAGAATGCTTTTTGCAATTTCTCCACGAATTGTCTCTCGACTCCTTTTTCCCGGAGTTGTTTCCTCACCACTTCGGCGTTCGCGAAATTGCTGCACTCTTTAGCTACTCAACCGCAGAGGCATGCAAGGCGCTTGCGCACGAACCCCCGACAGCTACGCACAAGCCTTAAAGTTCTCAATCCTCCGAAGGAAAAAAGATGGCGACTGATACATTCACCCACAATGCTTAGAGCACGAAAACTTGAACAACGCTCATCAAAACGTACAGAAAAGTTATTAAAACCTTGAAACCTAGCGTAAACAATGTCGTTAGCAAAAAATATGGCTTTCGTTGTATTTTACGGGCTTTGTTAGGCTCGCATGGCGTAATTTGAGGTTAAATGTATAGCCGCCAGCTTTTTCCCTTCGGAAGATTTGGTCTTTGTCAAAGGGGAACACCTGGTAACACGTTTTCAGTTCATTTTTCGCACCTAAAATTTATTAGTTATTTCACAGAACATTGCTTGGTGTTATCTATTGCCATTCTATGTTGTTTTAACGATATTTGGGCGAATTTAGTTTACTTACCCTACAGTGTAAAAAAAAAGCCACGTTTGAACGATTAAATTCTTCTGAGTGCGAATATTTTACTCCAGAGGATAAACAATTTTAGACAGTGGAATCCCGATTTCTTGAACCTTTTTTTCGAACCTCCCGATAACTCGAACCAAAAGTCGTTTCCCTCTCCTCAGTCAAACTCTGTAATTTTACACCCGATTTCTCGAAATATCCGATTTTTCGAACCAATTTTCGTTTCCCTTAGAGGTTCGAAAAATCGGAATTCCACTGTACAAACTAATTACCTTCACAAACTAGCAGCTATTTTTGCACGGTTTCTCCTGAAACTTTATGGAGTTATAGAATTTTCGTATTGTAACAAATACTATTCAAATATTACACCTGGCATAATTGGAATGAATTCACAGTACACAGTACACTACACTTCGCCAAACTAGCTTTTTCTTCACTCTTATCTCTAGCAAACAGTCAGCTTGCGAACGCTTTAATGACCATTCGCTGTAAAGTACTCACTAAATTTAACAATTTGTAAATGTGTATGATTCTCTAAATACATTCTACAAGAACCAGAGTGTTTCCTTGGAGGGCCTATCGAGGGATAGTTGCCTGTGCAACGTACAACTATTTGTCGGAGGGCTTATAAGCTAGTTTCCGAGAACATAGAATTCTTAAGGGCAGCTATCATTCCATTGGCTCCGCAGACATAACCAATCTACTGTTCAGTTTATTATTCACCACTAAATTTTCCTGTAGCGGTTGAAATAAATTTCAGCCGAAAAGACGTAAACTTATTGTTTTTGAAAGCTCAACGACAACGCGGAGCTTGAACCACTGGTATTTCTCGTATGTCATTCCTTGGGTGAAACTTAACTTGAACGTGTTCAAACATGTTGTTTTAACTGCCGACGTAAACTTACGGCAGATTGACGTCCATTTGTCGTTTTACCGCACTTTCGGTTCGCAGATTTTTGTCTAAAAACTACTTCTACGTGATATCTTCTCAATACAATCCACAAAAACACTGCCTTCCCTTTGTGGCTAACCTATCACCATATGTAAAGTCGTACCTTTACCTATCTTCCTTTAGCGTACACGCTTGGGGCAAGAACCAATGCCCACTAAGAAGCACTGTCCGCCTATGGAAGGTTAAAAATGTTCCTTTGAATGTGGCTGGGACCATAAATTGTCCGCTCACGGGAGGTGTGACTTAGCGAAGATTCCACTGTCCTGCGTATTTGTACCTCGGCTACTGTCAGTGACCTATCGCATGGACAGTCGAACCTTCCGTACACGACACCCTTGGGTCAACAAAAAGTGACCACTTAGGACCAGAGTCTGATGGAGGTTAAAAATGAGTCTTTGCAAGCGGTTAGGACCATAATCAAGAGTGAGCTAACGGGAAGGGGGAGAGACCGCTAGGAGAGGTTCTGTGGTAAAACATATTTGTGTTCAGGTCCTCTAAGATTAGTGGTTTACATAATCGTGTGACTAGTGACAGAAAGTGAGTGTTCAAGTTTGTGTGTGTTTTTAAACTCTTGGTACAAGCGCGCCCAGACCCAGTCTGAATGACTGAGACTCGAGGCTAAGCATAAACGTGCACGCACGCACGCACGCACGCACGCACGCACGCACGCACGCAAATTAACCCTATCGCTTGATCACTGGGCCATCTTCTTTGCTTCTTTCACCAATGGAATCTCGGCATTTTCTCTGACTTGAGCAAACGTGTACTCCTTGACAAGCGTTCCATCTTCAAACACAGTCTCGAGAAGATCCTGCCGGCCAACGAAGAAACAACGAAAAGTCAGATTCAATGGTGACGCGGACTCTTCTTAATATATCTTAAATAAATTACAATATTTAGAGAGGAAGCCACATCAGCCTTAGCTGGTTTTCATCCGGGTCCTCTATCCTGGTCAAATTGGAGTTTGGATTGTTGGTTTTTGTAGAGGGAGGAAAACCAGAGAACCCAGAGATAAACCCTCGGAGCAAGGCGAGAACCAACAACAAACTCAACCCACACACGGCACCGGGCCGAAATTGAACCCGGGCTACATTGGTAGGAGGCCAGCGCTCTCACCACAGCGCCATCCCTGCTCCCCAACTCCCCAACAAAAGGATGTATTGCGCTATAATTTGGTGTATTTTCCCTCGCTTGCCACCAGTTACGTGTTGCGCTTTCTGACTGGTTATTGGTGAGGTGAGGTTTTCGATTGATTATTGCAAAACCAAAATAAAAGTCATCACTCTGCCCAATCAAAAAGGAAACACAAAAAAAACTACAGTGACGACGCGAAGTGCAGGAAAACGTGTGCGTATGACGGTGAGCGGGTCACGAATTTGGTTTTAAGTTAGTTGTGAAAGTGGCGCGAGTTTCTTTAAGCCAATTGCTCAGCGCAGTAATGTAAATCAAAAACAAACGCGAATTACTGTCGACATTCAAGTGAAAAGCGCTCTTTTCGTCGCCTAAGTGATTATCACTTCAGTGCACATTTATTTTGACTGGAGCTCTACAGAAATTATCAGAAAACGTCTCTGAAGAAGACTTCATAACATTTCACTCTTTTCCGGCTACGCTGTAAGACACTTGTAATAGTAAGAAATGGCGGCGAACTGTACCTTTTCTGCATGGCCTCTTCCCTCTTCAACGGTTACATACTCTCCCTTATCATCAAGCTCCAGGGACAACAAGCCTTTCTTGGAATTCTTTGATGAATCAGTGATAGGTTGCTTGTAAACATTGACCTGGATAAACAGTTTAATAACTTGTAAGGAAAGCGCAACGTCACTTGACTGACTCGACGGGTCGAATGGACTGTAACCTAAACAGAGCACTTTGCTGTGAAGTTCACCCTGTGATTCAGCAGAAAAAGTCGCTGCTTACAGGAGACTAGTGGTCAATACTTAAAAATCCCAACTGGCAGGAGGCAGACCAGTTGGCTATTTACAAGCACGACCGAGGAGTTGAACTAGGGTCTACCGAGAAATAACTCCAGCTTAGTGGTCAGAGAGAGACTTGAACCCGCGACCTCCGGATTTCAAGTCCGGCGCCCTAACCACTTGCCACCTCGAAAAGTCAAATCCTTAATAAAGACATATCATGGAAACCTAAATATAATGCCGGTCTGGTTTTGTGAAAAATTACTCTTTAAACGCTACTGAACTAAAAAAAAAAAAATTGTTGTCGTATTTTGGATCCCTTTAACAATAGGCCCTTTCCCGCATTCCGCCTCAGTGCGTTAACAATAGCACCAGAGCGAGGCTAGGGTGGACATTTTCATACATTTGCTGTATTTTTGTCCACCCTGACCTCGACTCGGCGCCATTGTTTGTTGGAATGCCGGAAAGGTCTATACCTTCGTGTTCTAAAAGAATTTCGTGTACGAGTGAATGTACTCGGGACAATATTAGCGGCGCTTCGACCACAAATGCCACAATATCGCATGGTAGTGACCGTTTAAGACTATGGACATATATTTAGTAGAGGGATTTTTTCCCCATCGGCTAGATGTTAAGACACATTAAGAAAGTTTATGAATGTATGTATGTATTTGCAGCACGATGTGGAACTAGCACTTACTGGCTTGTCGTTTACGACAGCAAAGCAGCACTTGTAGGCACATTTCTGAGTATCACGATCAAGTTTCTGTAAAAGCGCACCTACACAGAGAAAGCATGTGAAAAGAATTAAGAAAATTATCAGTATTGATGTACCGCGACATTCTCATAAGTAAAACAAAAGGTAATATATGCAGCTATGGTAAGGAGAGTTTGTACTTCGCGTTTACCACTGTCCAGACACGTTCCCTCAAAGCTGATAAGCGAAACAATTTCGCGTGGATATAACAAAATCGGTTGATTATTGCACTAAACAAGATCTTTACATCCTCAAAGCACCTTCCTCGATGTGTTGGTTTTTTTTTTCTCATAAATCAAAATACACACGATTTATACAGACGTCAGGACTTTTTCATTTCAGGGATAATTCAAGAATTTTTCAAAGTTAATTCAACGACATTCAGGGACTCGTTTCCCACAGAACCATATGTTTAGGTACGGATGGACACAAAATACAGAAGACTCAAGACTCCATTGAGAAATATTTACTAGTAGTAATCATAGATTAAAGAGTGCGTTCGAGTTTGGTAGGCTTGGTATGTTAAAAAAAAAATCCTAGGGACAGCATTTTGTGCCTGAGCTGTTAGGTAGGCGTGAAATTGGTCTCCTTTCAGCAGGGGCGAAAACAAATGAATTGATCGCAAAGCAGGCTTGGTATGTTCCAAAAAAAAGAGCAAAAATTCTAGGGAGAGCATTTTGTGCCTGAGCTGTTAGGTAGGCGTGAAATTGGCCTCCCTTCAGTAGGGGCGAAAACAAATGAATTGATCGCAAAACAGGCTTGGTATGTTAAAAAAAAACAAACAAAACAAAAATTCTAGGGAAAGCATTTTGTGCCTGAGCTGTTAGGTAGGCATAAAATTGGTCTCACTTCAGCAGGGGCAAAAAAAAAATGAACTGACCGGAAAGCAAGTGCATACGAGAGGGTTTGTTCTCTTTTATACAAGTATTGTGTAATGTTAGTTACGACTGGTCAGTAAAAAGCATGGACTGCAGTCGGGAGGCCGCATTTAGTCCGCAGTCCCCATTTTATACCTGAGTCCGCGCGCGTTTTACGCCCAGTCCGTAATGCTTAGTCTGCGTTTTATACATAAGTCTGTGTTTTACACCCAGTCCGTAGTCCGTAGTCTGCAGTCCGCAGTGCGTGTTTTACACTGACCGTGTAAATCGACACCAACCATGTTTGTTCCGTCGGTATGCGAGACGACGTGCTTCTATTGCCAAAACTAGGACAATTATTTTGTTTACAAACACGACTTTGAATCGCCTTGGCTTTGGGGTAACAGCTACAGGGCATTTTCTCTTTCGAAACAGTGAAACGGAGGACATGTTGGTGTACCAAAGCAACCCTTTGGGAGTTGAACTCATTTCCTAAGTAATCACTTTCGTTGGGTTTACGTTACATAGTTTGCGCACAGAAATCTAGGCCAGCGAAGTAAAAATCATTTCCTCCCTTGATTTATTCAGCAGAAAGCAGCATTGGTTTCGGACAAAGAGAAGAGGGTACACAACACGCAGCCAAGCTACAGCTTTTTGTTCGTACGAAAAGTCGTACACATTTCGTGAAGACATGTCTGCAAGGTTTTTAAATGCCGTTAACATTGACTTCGAACTTTAAATAAACAACTTATCCGCTGCGGTCTTCAATAAGCTGCCTCGAAAAGTCGGACACATTTCGTGAAGACATGTCTACAAGGTTTTTAAATGCCATTAACACTGACTTCGAACTATAAATAAGTAACTTCAGTATCCGCTATAGTCCACAATAAGCTTGCTCGACACTCGAAAGTCCGCAATAATGCGCAACACTCGAAAGAAAGAACATGGACAAACATGGACATGACGTCATTCGCCTCTGAAGAATTCTTTGGGGGGGGCCAAATTGGTGTCCCCCGATAGATAGATAGATTCACAGATCTCGAATTTTTCTGCATTACGCGATTAGAACTGCGTTCTGTCGAACGTGATAATTTTTAAAAACTGGATCATTGGATAATGTAATTCAAGAGTTTTCAATGAATTAGTCACAATTATACCATGCTCTACAAATATGGTGAGCGCTCGCGTGAGTTTTTGGGGCGATTTCATTTTTATTTTACTTTAGTTTCCTATACTGATTTTGAGGCCGTTTTAAATAAAACAATTATTCCACTCGCGCTTGATGATTACAGCCTACTCGGCGGTAAACCCCTCGTTGGCTATCTAACATCTCAGCTCGTGGAATAATGATTAAATAGCTATTAGTACGTGTTTCTCTTCTCGTCCAATGTAGCTCAACAGTTTCTTTAGAAACTAATACCTCTATATTCAAAGACTTGTTTTAACAAAATTCAAGGACTCCATATAAAATTCAACAGCTTTTCCAGGAGAAAACCTATTCCTCTTTTCATTTTCAAGGACTTCAAGGATGTGGCGAGTTATCAAGACCTTTTTCAGGCCTGTGCAAACTATGATACAGTTGAGCAATGATAATTAATTTACCTCCACTCCCAAATGCGATATTATCAGCACTCCATTTGTGTTTCTTCATGTTCTCCAAAATTTCAGACAGGGTTTCATAGCTGATGCCGTCACCCTGAAACACAAACAATTATATGATAAAGCTTCGCTTTCAAAGAGCTGATACAAATATGGAAAATTGAAGAATTTCGTTTGCTCACTTGGATTATTCTGAGGTAAGGCGGCAGAAGGTGGAATCCTTTCGAGTTTTTCTCGCCACCAAACTTCCGATCTGTAAGAAATAAGCAGGAATGCAAAACAGTTACACTGCGATAAGTTGATCGTAACCGTGCTAGTTAAATAACGAGCTTATGCAGTGGCGACGATGACACCGACGACGACGCCTACTGAAAAAAATATAAACATATATTCACCTTTAGGCTCGACTTCCAGCCGTTTGGGAATCCGGTTGTTTATCTTCCTCCCAACTTGGTGTGGGGCAAGGAACGCGGGCTCACAAAACGGCTGGAAATGGAGCCTAATTCACCTTCGAATTTCGCAATTGTCTAATAATAATAATAATAATAATAATAATAAT